GCTAAGAAATGGTAACTAGCAAACATCAAAATCCTAGTGCAGAAAAGGCACAGGCTGTGACCTTCATATATTAACAAATAATAATAAATGAGTGAGCAAAGCATGCACGTTTTCACCTGTGGACAGATGTTTACCACAGATCAGGTTTCTGTCTGTTAAGAGAAACTAGTTGTTGAAGTGAAGTTAAGATAATTCATACCAGTCAGTACATGGCAAGAAGGAACCTCTTCTCCTGGTGAAGATTTTACCTGAGAATGAGCAATATTTAACCTGCATCTTTGTAAGAAATGTGTGCACTGCAACCATTGCTACTCTTGTCAGTTTTAACTGATCTACATTAAAATCCCAGGGAAAACAACACAACAACAGCATTTTAGTTCTCTCTGACAAAACAGAACAAAATTAAATAAAATAGAACAGAACAAAGCCACTTTTAGCAGGAAAGATAATGCCTAAGAAGTAGATGCAAGGAAAAGTTATATGCTTAAAGATAAGAGCAGATTACTTAAATTCACTACATCCATATGCAAACATAACTTTACTATAAAATCTTAAAAAGCAGAAAGCACAAATCTAAGAATTGCAGAGAAAGTGATATAATTTGTAAGCAAGGAAGCTAGGATGATCGGGAAAGGATGTTATTGTTTCTTTTTTAACAGCATCTCTGGAATTCTCATTTGCTGTTTTATTTGATTTTAAAGTGTACAGATTATGGTAATTTTATATGCCAGTGTCCCAATTAAAGTTAGGTTTCTCTTCAGTTTATACAACAAATTAAGGCACAATTGACTTGAATTCAATGACACTGTCACACTTGAAATTGATTATAATGTCTCAAATGTGGTTTTGGAGACTGTTACCCACCAAATGTGAATACCAAAAAAATAACCTGGTTTTATGTTTTTGTGGTTTTACCCAAAGCAGTCCAGCTGAGTTGTTAGATTAAAGATAAAATATTTTTTTTAAATTGCATTTAAAAAAGCAAATACACTTTTCAGTCATATGATATGAAAATGTTCCAGACTATATAACTCCTACTGCGTACTTTCAAAAAATTCCCTTGTTCTGAAGTCAGTTCAGTGGCTATTAGAAGTAGTCACTGATGTAAATTCCATCTTGTTTATGAAAACATTTTGAACAAAGCATTGATTGTCCAAGGTTTATAAAAAAAGTTAAAACCTATAAAATGTTGGCATTACTGCTATTTGGGGCATGAGAATGACATGCATATAAATCACAGTTTATTGGCACAGTCTTTCATACACAGAAAGAAGGCTTTGCTGAAAATGGAAATCATCAATGTACTGTAATTCCCCTCTTACAGATTTGCTTTTAAAGTACTCTGAATCGGGAAAAAATCTGAAGCAAATCTTAGTCTACAGTAGGAATCAGGGGCACAAGAAGGCTTTTATGACATGGGTTAGCTATGGTAGAGGGGCAGAGTAGGCAGAGTTTGGGGAAATCAGGGTGGATGACAAGGTCTTGGTGTGGAGCTTTGGGAGGGAAGGTCATTTGTGTAGCTGATGTCCCTTCATGCAATCTCAGCCACATCTCTATTAGCCCTGGGAACAGTAATCTGTTGGTCCATTTTGTAGGAAAGAGTCCAGCTATCACTATTTAGGAGAGGTAACAGTTTACTAAAGGCTTTCACAGGAGGACTCTGTCCCTTCCTACCCATCATGAGTTGGGTGAAAGAGGCCTTTTATGCTGACAGTTTTTCCTTTTAACAGCAGGGGATTTTTCTGGTGACATTTTGGCAAACCTTGATCCACAGCCCCTCTAGCAAGGACAAGGAGAGCAATTGCTTGCCAATACTTGGCCAAGGATGTGAAGCCACCCTTGTGCCTCATACACCACTGCTTTGCTTGATCAACAGCTGGTGAAAAATATGAAACTTCTCTCCTGGTCCAGGCCCAGATGAGGTGTCATCCAGGCCAGGTCTATCTCTCTACATCCATGCTGAACAAGAATTGGCAGTGTCACTTGTTGCTTTAAAATGGCATCCCGATGGGAAATAGGTGTTCGGGTCTCACTGCAGGAAGCGATCTAATTCTCTTGGATTTTGTGAGTAGCCCGGTCTTAGCAAAGGGGAGATTTTTGAAGGTGTTGGTCACCTAACCATTCAAAGAATCCTTTGTTTAAAACATCTGGGTTTAAAAGTTTCACCTCTGTTAGAACGCATAGGATAGCTGCAGTACCCTAGACTCAAAGGATATGCCCCACTGGATGGTGAAAAATCAACAGCACAGACTATACAGGACCATTCAAGTCCTGAGAACGGAGCACCCCATACTTGCATTGCTTCTGTTCTAGACAACTAAAATGTCAGTGAAGTTACACCAGAGTAAAACAAGAGAAACAGCAGTGAACCAGCCCAAGAATTCTCCCAGATAATTCTTTCCTTTTTCTTTTCCAGTAGTAAAATTATTGGCAGCCACTAGGGATCAATGCTGTCATTAGCCTTGAAGTGCTGCACTGAAGAGCAAATGCTCTAGCGATCCAAGCAATATTCTGTTAAGTCATTCTACTGGACTGCAGGGCTTGTGGGTGGGATTCTCCCAAGTGAAAAACACAGCAATGCCACAAGACTAAGTCCTTACTATTTCTTGGAAATATAGTAACAGCCATAAAATTCACTGTTGGCACCTGAATTTTTAGAAGCACTAAGCAAATTAAACAATCAAGTCTTAGTCCTGCAGCTCTTCTCCTCATATGATGCTTATTAAAATATATGTGGTAAAGAGATTCATGAATGGATTCCAGAATTTTCAAGCAGAAATGCCTAAAATCAGATTCATAAATCCACATCTAAATTTTTTAACAAGGTTATGCTCATTTCATAATTTTCTTGAGCTTCTGAAAATTGCATATACTAGAGTTTTTTAAAAATAGTCAAGCCAATTTATGCAGATCTTTAGTCTGAATTAGGGTCTGCATTAAGACCATTTTCTAGAATTGTCCATCATAGGCATTGGGACTAGTCCTGTGAAGGCTAAAGGAGGCATGGTCTGGCAGCCCTGATGTATTCTGAGTTGATCCTAGTTCTCTAGAGCTAAAATACCACAGGAGAGCTGATTAAGATGATGTACATATGACTAATGAGGATGCCTTCTAGTCTATCAATCAAGTTTGGAAACTTGGCCCACAGACTGACATGGGATATTCCCACTGGAAGTACACTATTTCCATTCATCTTAACGAAGTGGTCCATCACTGATCATGTGGCATAACTCTTTCAAAACCCTGCCTGTACTAAGTAATTTCATCTTCAAAAAAGTCAATGAAAAAATAAATGTAAGAAGAGATCAGAAAACTATGAAGAAAGGCTAGCAAAATCACAGCCATTTTAACAAGAGCTTGGTAACTTGTGTAAGTTAGAGTGATTTCATACATGCATCAGTCGTGCCAGCTTGTCTGCACACACAGCATGTAATATCCACATCCAGAAATGTTGTGTTCCATCCCAAGGATTCTTCATTTAATGTCAACAATGAATGAGTTGCACAGTTCTGCTTGCAGTTGTCTTCTCTAGTGTTCAAGCATATTTTTAAGCCAGAGGATCTGTTTAGCAGAGCCAAAACGATGTATACTAGTGGCAGTTGCAGAACTGGCTGTGGGAGAGCTAGACAGCCTGATGGCTTGAAAAAAATGGAGCACAGAGACAGGAAAGAGACAGAGTTACCAGGACAAGGACTGGGGCATGTATTAGAATAGCCTGTGTATCAGGGAATGTGTAATTCAGCCACACTGTCCTCTACTGGATAAGCCCGGTTCTCTGAAAATGATGATGTATTCATGCTGTTTTCATTCTTCAGTGCCCAATTTAAGGCATTCCAGCAGAATCATACCTTTAAACAACCCATCTCCTTCACCTCATCTCTCTCTGCCCTCAATACTATTAAAAAGAAGAAAACAGTGTTTTTATGACTATCAAATGTTCATGATGTTTACTCTCTGACTCTTGTCTTAAGACCTCTGTCAGAAGCAAGGAAGAGTTTCAAGACGGGGAATTTCAATCAATTTAATTTATTGCCAATCAGTGAACTTCTAATTACTGATTCTGATATTTTTAAAAAAATGAAACCACTCAGGGAAAAACACCTCAGTTCCCCTCCATACACCTCCCCTCTTTCTGGTCTCCCATCCCCTCACTGTGGGCTACACTCAGTCCCTTTGAGGAGGTAAGGGTTGGTGCAGGAGCTGGGGGGTCAGCAGATGGTGGGTGCTTTTATTTTTCCACTCCTTGCTTCATGCTCAGTTGCCCCAGGGCAAGTTCCTCCACCAGCCTCCAACTCATTGGAGTCCAGCCTCCTCCTCTCTGCCCTTGCTCAGGCAGCTTTTCTTCCTCCAGCCCCAGCTTGAGATCCTATGTTGCTCCAGCATTTCTCCTGCTCTGACATCGCTCCTCTCTCCTCCTGCTCTGGTGTGGTCTTCTCTGTCTTTCTCCTCCTCCTGTACTGGTGTTGTTTCTTTTTCTCAGTGTTTACCACTCTTTCTTAAACACATTTTCACAGAGGTGCCAGAAACTCCTCCGATCGGTTCAGCATTGCAGGTGGAGCTGGCTGCAAGTGGCTGCGTCCAGCACAGGCTGGTTCATGGCCTCCTCCCACAGAGACCACCCCACAGCCACACTGCTGCCAAAACCCTGACAATCCTGCCCAATACACACCTCAAGCCCCACTTGGTAATCAAAAAAAAAACCCAACCAAACCCACAAACCAACTCTGGCTAACTTCTAGTTGTACATTTTCTCCAATCTGGGGATTTTTTTCCTTCACAAAAGCCTTTACGTTTCTGGATATGAGTATTTCTGGTATCTTTGGAAAGACTGGCCTGATGAGATCCGAGATAAGGAATCTAAATGAAAGCAAGCCTTTCTACAGCCAGCCCGTGCACGTCCCCCAGGCGTGTGCTGCTCTGGAGGGCTTCAGCTTGCAAGCTGACTGCTCTGTGCTCTGCATGGTTCCCACAGACCCCAACAACCTGTATGCTCCTTTCAGGTTCTGGACGACAGCTGAGACCGGCCGAGCCTCCGGGAGATGCTGATGCTGATGTGGATGCAGAGGATGAAGATTCTGTGAGTTTTTTTAGAGTGGGATTTTTTTTGGAACAGGGTTTTGGCAGTTACCTTGTTAAAATGGGACCCTAAATATTTCATTTACAGATGGGTCTTGCTGGCAATTTTTTTCCCCATCAAAAATGTTGTATTTCTGCTTGGGATTCTCCTGCCAGCTGAAAAGCTGGTATGATGCTTCAATATAAAGTGATCTGCTCTTTGCCATGATTCACCAGCATAAGTTTAATACCAAGACTTAGCAAACTATTACATGGCTGTTGACTACAGTAACTTTTCCTTAAAGCTTTAGCCAGTTTAGGTTCCCTATCATTTGACTCCACAAGGAAGCATGCCAAGCACTTGTCAGCAGAAATTCCTGCTGGGACTCTTCCATGGTTTGCTTGGTTATAGAGGACAATAAAGTTTGAAGCCACAGGATGCAAAGGTTAAGTGTGCAAATAAAGCAAGGGAGTGAATTTTTATTGCCTTTTTCAATTATTACTAATTGATCTGTCAGTATTCTCAGTCTGTTTAGCCCATAGATGCATACAATACATATAAAGAAAACCAAAATTACCATACCATTGGTTTTGTCTCTCAGGAGTCTGTCCCTTGTGTTCTTGAGTAATATCCTTAAATGAGAATTGCATTTATTCTTGACCTAAGGAAAGAGTTATTGGTTATTCTACATCCACCATTACTAATGAAAGATTTGTACACAGAAGATTATGCCCAAGTAGAAAAACTCTCCTAAAAAAAAATGCATCATTGTTTAATGGTGGATGTTCCTTTCCACCACTCATTTCTTTTCCACAGGTTAATGAAGTGGCAGTAGAAGACATCCGTCCAAGGCCACAAGGATCCTCTCCAGTTTATGAATATTCCATAGAAGAAGAATATTTAAAGGCAAGACACTGAGTTTTCATCACTGAGTTTTGATGCAGGCATGGCTTTACCAAGTTCATTCAAGAGGCTTTAGCTCCTACAGCTAGCCGAGACTCATATGTCACGTAACAGGATGTTGTTGCAGCAATATTGTCTTCCTGTCCCCACCAAAATCAAGGCCATATTCACTGATGGTTTTATATTGTACTGGACTTGTTGTTGGCCATGTTCTTGTTTCTTCACAAAAAATGCATTCGACTTCATTCCTTAAAGGACCTGGGGCAGAGAATGTCAAGAAATCACAATTATTTTCTATTAGAATATTTAGCTGGCTTGAATCTAACTAATATATATTTCAAAATTGCCTGTACGTCTTGGTTATTCAAAGGTAAAGATTTAATTAGTACAGTCATGTTAAGATAATCAGGCAATAGTTTGAAATTCACGCTGAAGTCAAATAAATGAAAAAAGGGTACATTCACAAAGATGAAAGCATGAGAAATGTGCTGCATAAGTAACACAGAAAAGCTCCCAATGTCTTAATACAATTGGTCTCTGGAGTTCATTTCATGCAAATTTTGGTACAATGCAGGGAGGCCTTCGCATCTAATTTACTACTGGGAATAATATAGTTAAATCATTCACATTGTACATCGCACTTGTAGATCCCAATTTTGCTCTGTTGCCATTAAAGACAGCCTCAGTTCTTAGTCTAAACCAGGCATTTTAACTGGTGTAGGACTTCTGTTGTACTTTACAACAGCACGACTTCTGAACACTAAATAATTGCAAATTATTTTTCAGCTTCAAGAAGAAAACAAAAAACATTCTACAGACAGATCAAAACAGAGTCATCCACAGGTCAGTCTAAAAGCACTCAGTAGTTTTAGGCATGTGGTTTGCAAAATAGTAAAGTTTGTTACAACACACAGACATGGATGGGTGGATAGAGGGAAGGACAAATAGACAGTCACTTTAGACTTGTTTTGACCAGAAACTTCACAAATTGCCTAGCTGTGGCACAGGCATGAACACTTACCTGTCCTATTTGGGGTCCTTCCATATTTTTTTTAGCATTCTTTAGCCTTCTCCAGTTTGAGTACAGTACAGCATTAGGTCTTTGACTTTTCCAGACCATTGACTCTAATTCAGGTGCTTAACATCTTCACAGAAAATACAGTATTTCAGCCCTAAAAGTTTCCATATGTTTCATGTTTTAAAATTACAACCTATTTTCTCTATGGTCCTGATCCAGCATAACCCTAATGCATGTGCTTAATTCTTATTTAGAGCAGAATCAAACCCCCACTGAACAAGTACATTCTCTATTTTAGATAATCTTTCTTGAGCTACTGAAAATATACCTGAGGAGACTCAACTTTTTATTGTAGAATAATGTAGAACACTTTGATACAATTAAATAAAAATTGTAAATTCACACTTTTTTCTATATCTAGGAAATCATGGAAGTGACCCTGAAAACAGAAGTGGAAGCTGGTGCTAGTGGTTTTAGTGTGACGGGTGGAGGAAATGAAGGAATATTTATTAAAAAAGTACTTAAGGAATCTCCTGCTTCAAAAATATTTAGTCTGAGAGAAGGTACAGTCTGATTTTCTGTTGTTTTGTTGTTTGTGGGTTTTTTTAATATATCATAAAACAATCAGGTATGTAGTTGTGTGTGCATATAGATACCTACCTGATCTGTCAACTCTTTAGGTAATAGAAATAGTAGATCCCAAACCAACTAATATTATGTGTGAGCTTATCCTTTCCATATTAATAATTTCAAAGATCAGTTTCTTTAAAAATAACAAAATTTGATTTTTTTTAATACCATAAAAAAATTTCTAGTTTTCACTGCAACAGTGAAAAAGATACATAGAAAGTAGTGTATACGCAACTAAAATGAAAAAAAAAAAAACAAAACCCAATTCATAACATTCATGAAGAAGCTGCCTTTGATTCTTTCACAAAGAGTATGCTGCAAAACTGCAATAAATAATGATTTAAACAAGAACAGAAGTCCAGAGTCTAAATACTGAAAAATATAAGAAAAAAACCTTTGTTACTGTCAGGGTGGTCAGACACTGCAACAGGTTTTCCAGAGATGTTGTGGAGTCACCATGCTTGGAGATATTCAAAACCTGACTGCACATAGAGCTGAACAACTGGCCGTAGCTGATCCTTCCCTGAGCAGGGCACTTAGACTGGATGATCTCCAGAGGTCCTTTCCAGCCTTAACTATTCTATGATTCTGTTATGTGAACAGAATTTCATGTTTTAAATAAATAGGATGTGGTAAATTTTTTTTGTGGGTATTAATTCAACAGCATTTGAAAAAGTGCAAGAAAACACAAACTAATTAAAATGATGTCTGATTCCACTTGCAGGTGATCAGCTTCTAAGCGCTACAATATTTTTCGATAATATCAAATATGAAGATGCACTCAAGATTCTCCAATATTCCGAGCCGTACAGAGTCCAATTCAGCCTCAAAAGAAAAATTGCTGGGAAAGAAGAGCTAGAACACATTCACTCTACAGCCCACTACAAAAAGGAAAGAATAAGCCAGGTAGATATTTGATTTGTTTACAAAGTTTGGATAACACTGTAGTATTGTGCTGTGTGGAAATAGACCAGAAAATACACGCTAGTCTCTTCTTAAGACTTAGGCACGTGTTTAAACTTACTAACATGAATATTCATGAGAACAAAAAAATCCCACACAGTATTTGCAGCTTTTTAAATATCCTGGGCAAGACTATAGGTTTCGGATAAAGTCACAATCTTGCGTTAGGGTAAAAAAACATTCTCTAGCGAGTCAGCTTTTTTTTTTTTGTTAAGTATCCACTGATAGAGCAGGCCCAGATAAGCTCTGTAATACATTAAAATATCAGTAAATATTTTTCTCAAAAGATCACCAATGAAATTTTCTCATAAAAATATGTGTTTAATCACTGATATTTCCATAGACATGATCTGCTCATAGGTCTCCATCACATTCAAAATTATTTTTCTCTTCATATACATATATATAAATATTTTCTATTTATACAGACATATATAGAGATATACAGATACAAACCTCTGCTTACTGCAGTATTTTGCCAAGAATGTAAATCTCCAGAAATCTACTTATTACAGTCATATAATCCATTTGTTTTATGTAATTTCTGCCTGAATTATATACACCATTTTTAGGAATTTTTTATATAACAAGTAGATAGTCCGAATAAAAAGCACATTTTTCTACATGTTTTATAGTATGTATTTTATTTTGTGTTGCATCTGTATTTAGTTTACTTTTAGTCTTCTGACTACTATTTGTTCTTTCAGGAAAAAGAACTCGGTGAGAGCATTCCTGAAGAAACACTGCATGTTTCAGGAAAAGCCATTTCAGAAGAAGACAGGGAAACATTAATTGTAAGCCAAAGGGTAGGAAGGAGCAAGAGACCTAAAAAAGATAGACTGTCATGGCCAAAATTCCAGTCGATTAAAAATAAAAAGATACTGGGGCACAGAAGATCTCATAGTACATCAGATGCATATGAGCCTGCTATACAGGATATTTCCCCTACAAGCACAGACACAGAGTCTCAATTTCAACAAGAAGTCCATATCAAAGAGAAAAAAGGAAGCCAAAAGAAACTGAAGTTCCCTAGCATTGGATTCAAAATGCACAGATCCAAACCAGAACCAGCAGACAAGCAAAAAAAAGAAATAAAAACTACACTGTTATCTGAAAGAGAAAAAATACATAAAGAAGATATCAGCCTGGAAAATCCTGAAATCCTAACTGTTGAATATACTACATCTCCTGTTTATGAAATTAAAACAGGGGAGGTAACTGAAACTTTAACAAAAGACTTAAAAGATATGAAAAATGGCATTCCATCTCATGCAAAAAAATGCCCTGAAGTTGAAATAAGCATTAAAAAAGAAAAAGACAAGGAATCGACATCAAAATTTATTGTACCTGAAGTACCAGCTATAACAACACAGATACCAAAGCCCAGTTTAGAAACACCTGATCTGAAAGAAAGCCCAACTAAACAAACACTGCAAGCCTCATCAAAATCCCGAAAAAAGAAACAGAAAGGAACAGCAGATAAAAAGGAACGAGAAAGTGGAATTAACATAGACATGATGGGTCACACAGCACAAGGATCTATACAAGTAAAAGGTCTAGAAATAGGCACTGCTAAAGCAGAATTACACACAACATCTGACACACTGCAAACAGGAGAAAAACAAGCAGAAGATGACACACAAATAAGAACAATTCAGAAAACAAAATTTGAGATTTCAGTGCCCAAAATAAAAGAGACAGAGACTGAAAACACCAAAATGGGAACTGATGTTCCATATTCAGTACGAGAAAAAACAGTTGATACAAGTTCAGAGGAAAGCAGGAATTTGGATGTGAAACCTCACATGCCTGATGCAGAATCAGAAGTATCTACTTGGAAAATACAAATGCCAACATTCAAAATGGCCAAGACGCCTAAAGCTGACATGAAAATATCAAAAGAAGAAATCACAGCTGAATCAGTAGATACTGTAAAAAAAGGACAGATAGAAGAAGATGGCATGTCAACAAGTGATAAAACCTTGAAGATGGACATTTGCATGAAGACAGGAGAAAAGGAGACAGAGGGAAAAGAAAGCAAATTCAGACTCCCAAAGTTTAAATTGCCTACATTTACCTGGGCAACTACAAGGGATGAAACAGGGCAAAGTGAAGGTCAGATAAGTGATATGGAAGGAAAACTGCCAAATTTAGAAGCAAGTACAAAAAAGGTGGAAGGACTGGAAGGCGAGGTCAGCCTGCCCACCGCAGAGGTCGACCTCCCCTCCGCCACCGTGACGGCCACAGGGGAGGGCCCCGCGCTGGGCCTCAAAGCCGACGTCCCCGGCGCCAAAGCCGAAGGGGCCGGCTGGAAGCTGGAGAAGCCCTCCCTCAAAATGCCCAAAGCCGACATCAAAGCTCCCAAGGTGGACATCAGCCTGCCGTCCGTCGACGTCACCCTTCCAAAGGCCAGCGTCGACCTGCAGGCGCCCGAGGCGGCCCTCACCCTCGAAGGGGAAGCAAAAGGCCCAGAGAAGGAGGCCGCAAAGACCAAGGACGGCAAGTTCAAGATGCCCAAGTTCGGCATGCCTTCCTTCGGCTGGTCCAGCAGCAGAGAAGCCAAGGGCACCGTGGCCGCTGATGTGGACGTCAGCCTCAAGGAGCCCCAGGTGACGGTGCCCTCGGGAACCGCCGAAGTCGACGTGACCCTGCCCGGGGCTGAGATCCAAGCGCCCAGTTTTGATGTTGCCATAGATTCCTCCTCTGGAAAAGGAGATGAGATGGGTAAATCTAGAAGTTCTCTGTTTAGAATGCCTAAGGTTTCCCTTTCCAAAAGTTCAACACCTCAGGCACAGAGTAAGTCCAGAGTTGACGTTTCTGTGTCAGAATCTCTTTCCCATTCTGTAGTAGAGGAACCTCCTTCTGTTCTTTCAGGCAGTGTCGGATCTAAACTTCTTCCTGACATTAAGGGAGATATTGGCTCTAAAAGTAGTAAATTCAGAATTCCTAGCTTGGGTTTCTCCAGCATTGATATTGGGTCTTCTAAAATTGAACAGGATTCCCCATTACCAAAAGCGGATATTACTCTTACTAAATATCAAATGAATATTTCAGACCCTGAATCAAAAATATCATCTCTTGCTGATGAGAATCTTTTAGTAACAGATTCTGAAATTTTAAATGAAGGTGGTTCTTTGGAGCAAAGAATTCTGAAGCCAGGAGAGAAAACAGCAGCTGCTGAAATACCTATGTGTGACACAGAGGTTACAGTTAAAATTCCTAAACTACGAAAACCAAAATTTGGAATTTCTTGGTCTAAGGGAAAACCATCAGAAAGTGATGTTGGTTCCAAAGTGGAACCTGAAATTTCCAGGGGAAGGATAACATCTGATATGACAGATACTGATATTGAAAAACTAACTCAGATCTCTGATGCCGAATTAGGTATAAAGCTGTACAAGCCCTCATCTGAAGTTGTTCTGGATGCACCAATGTTGGATGTCAGTCTCCCATCAATGGAAGTTACCAAGCCAAAATTAGAAGTGGAAATCCATGGCCTAGATTCAGAGTGCAAGGCAGAACAGGAAGTAGTTTCAGGAGAGAAGGACACTGAGGAGAAAGAAAACAAATTTAAAACGTCAAAATTCAAACTGCCTTCATTTAGTTGGTCACCAAAGAAGGAAGCTATTGCTCCTTCTGATGTTGAGGGACAACTGGAAGAACCCACTCTGTCTGCTTTATCTGGAGACACAGCATCTGAATTAACATTTCCTACTCCTGAGAATCAATACCTTCATGCGGACTTTGATACATCAACAGAAAAAGATGGTGAAAAGGGCAGAAACAAGAAGTCCCAATTTATCATGCCAAAGATCTCATTCCCTAAAATTAAGGGTCAAAAAGTCCAGGTCTCTCTGCCCATAATGGAAACTGATGTTTGTGGTCCCAAACAAGAAAAAGCTGTTTCTGTCCAGAAATCTGAGAAAGGGAGTAGTGGAGAAGGGGCAGGAATGGGTATAAAAATGCCCAAAGTTACAGTCCCAAGTTTGGAATTTTCCAAACCAGAAGTCAAAGCTCCCAAAATAGAGATGGATATTAGCATGCCGACAGGTGAGGTCGTACTTCCTACATGTGAAGAAGGTGACCTGACATTGAAATCAGCTGCTGCTAATGCCAGCCTCTCCACCTCAGATATTAAGATGAAAACTGAAGGCTCACTCGACGTGAAGAGTCCTGACACAAGTGTTGAAAGAACATCAAGTGAAATTGTTGTGGGTGATGTAGAAATAAAAATTGAAGGTCCTGAAGGGAAAACAAAAATGTCTAAATTCCAAATGCCAAAGTTTGGAATTACACATTCTAAAGGGAAAGGGTCAGAAAAGGAGGTCAGTCATACCAAATCAGAAGTCAAGGTTCCCCAACTAAAAGCAATGGTAGAAATAGATGACATTGCTGTTGAAGCACCAAATTTGGAGGTAGAATGTGGTACAGGAACAGAAACTTACAGCCCTGAAGTCAAAATGACCAAAGCTGACAATAAGGCATCAGAGGCTGATGTTCATCTCCCACCAGCTGACATTTCTGTTCCAAAAACAGACAGCGATATTCGGGATTCAGATGCAGCACTAAAAATCAAAGGGGAAATAAAACAAGATGGAGATGGAGAAGGGAAAGAAGGGCATTTCAAAATGCCAAAATTCAAACTTCCATCCTTCAGCTGGTCACCGAAGAAGGAAGCAAGTGTTAAGCCAGATTCTGGAGCAAATTTGGAAGATCATAAACTTGCTGTAGTGTCAAGCAGAATAGACACAGAAGTGAGAGGAACTGAAGCTGATGATCAAGGTCCTGGGCCAGACCTTGATCTGGAAATATCTGCAGGAAAAGTTGAACAAAAAAGTCCAATTAAAAAACCTCAATTTGTCATGCCCAAAATTTCACTCTCCAAGATAAAGGTTCCCAAATCTCAGACTCACTCACCAAAAGTTGAAGCTGATGCTACTATTCCTAACACAGAAAGAGAGGGTGATGATTCAATACAGATACCTGACATAGAAAGAAGTCATTCCAAAAAGACAGAAGAGGGGGCACAAATAAGCATAAAACTGGCTGATGTTAAGATCCCTGCTCTGGAGTTTTCGAAAATAGAAACTGGAGCCTCCCAGACTGAAATGGGAGTCAGCTCAGCAAAGATTGATGCTGCTTTGCCTCCCTCTGAGGGGAGTTTTCAACAGGTTGTCCTAAAATCGAGTTCAATCAGTGAAGATACCATGCAGAAAACAAGTATTAAGTTCCCCAAAGGAGAAGCTTCAGTTGAACTGAGGAGCCCTGAAACAGTAATAGAAAAATCTTCAGTGGTGGATGGAAGAAAGATTAAATTGGAAGGTCCTGAAGGGAAGAATAAAATGCCCAAATTCCAAAAGCCAAAGTTCGGAATCTCCCTAACAAAAGGGAAGGGCCCAGAGACAGAGATCAGCTCTCCAAAAATAGAAGCTGAGCTACCCCAGCTAAAAATGACAAATGAAATTGCTGACATTGCTGTGGGAGTTCCAGCATCAGAACTTACATCTGATATGTCGGATTCTGGAGTAGGTGTTTGTAAGATAAAAACACCCCAAGTTCTGACAGCTGGCATTGAAGCTCCAAAGGTAGACATAAGCCCCCAGTCAGTGTCTAAACCAATGACAGAGGGTGCTATTGAGAGCTTTGAGGAGAAAGAAATCAAATTAAAAGAAGAACATGAAATAAAAGCTGAAGACATTCAGACTGAAGAACATCAGGGATGGTTTAAAATGCCAAAATTCAGAATACCTGCATTTGGCAGTACATCCTTAAAGGAAAAAAAAGGTGATGCTGATACTGAAAGAAGTACAGAAAAAGCTCAGGCAGGCATTCCCTCTGTCAAAGTACAAACTGAAACAAGTATTCCTGAAACTACCTTCTCATTACCACATGCAGTTGCTGAAATTACTATTGGAAAAGAAGGGATTCCAAAATTAGGAGTTTCTGTGAAGACTTCTGATGTTAGCTTGTCAAAGATGGAAGGAGATATTTCATTATCCACAGAAATAACAGACAGTAGAGTGAATATTCCAAAACCTGAAACTTATGCAGACATAGTTAAGCACGGTGCTGAAGGACAAAAAATGCATACTTCAGAATTCACAGTGTCTTCAACAGAATTCCTAAGTGCTTCAGAAATTGACCAAGACAACAGTTTAACGAACAGGTTTCCTACTCTGACTCTTCAAGAGTGTAAAGTCAAATCACAGGATATAGAGGTCCAAAAGGTAGAAAGTTCCACTAAGTTAGAGACTTCAGGAGTAGGATGTAAACCATCATTAGCTGAAATTACTCTGGATGCAACACAGGACAAAATAGATGTTAGTCTTCCAAAGGAACAGCTAGATATCCAAAATCAAGAGGCAGTAATTAAAAAAGGAAAGAAAAAGGGTGAGATGAAAATTATAGGAAAAGACATTGAAGGAAGCCAATTAAAAAGGCCTACATGTGAATCATCAACAACAAAGAGATCAGAAGATGGTGCTTATGTTACAGCTAAGCTGGAAGATCTAAAGGTAGAAGTTCCAAGAGTGAAGATGGATGTTAAAACTGCTAAAGTAGATCCTGAAATGAAATTTCAAGTGAAAAGTGTTGAAAAGGACATGTCTGCAGGGGTGGAAGTGCAAGTAGAAGATAGAGCAGAAACAAGTAAAATTAAAACATACAAGTTTAAGATTCCAAAGTTTGGAGTGTTGCATTCAGAAGTGAAGGATTTTGAAGATGATATCAATTTGCCAAAGTCAGAAGGTGATTCAGTATGTAAAACTGAAATAGGCACAGCAGAAATGCAGTTTCAAAAATCAGAAGAATCTATTGGCCTGAAAAGTCCAGCTCCACACCATATGGAAGCATCTGCCAGAACAGCAGTGGAAACAGTGGACAAATCACAAGGTGGCCCAGAAGTAAATATAAAAATTCCCAAACTAAAAATACCAAGATTCACTTTCAGAGCTCTCCCAATTGAAGCTGATGTTTCAGTGTCAAAAGTGGTAACAGATCCAAAGGGCTCTAGTACTGATATTGAAGTAGTGCAACTGCAGGCAAGCTCTGCTATCCCTGAAGAAACACCAGAGGCTCCAGAGGGTGGTATTCAAAAAGCAAAAAGCAAAATTCTAACACTGACTGAACCTGACATTAAAACAGCACAGATGACTACTACCATAGAGTCCTCCCTTTCAAATGCAGGGCAAGACATTCATTGGTCGTATGTAGAGGGCCAAGAAGTGAGTGAGAAAGTAGAACCTGAACATGTTGCTATTGAAAGGTGTGAGATTTACACTACTGAAATCCTGAAAGAATCAGAGATTCTCTCATCAGAAGTCAAAACTGCAACTTTGGGATTCTCATTGCTCAAGGTGAAGTTGCCTGAATCACATAGCAACTTAGAAGTGCTAGTCGAGCAGCCATCTTCCACAGAAGGTGTATCAGTGAGCAAACCTAAATGTACTGATGAAAGCTTTGGAGTAGCAGCACAGAGAACTGGCAGTGCTGAGCTTAAACTATCTGACAAACCACACAGGGAGACTGAAGAATCTAGTGGAGGAGTAACTTTGCCAAAGTTAAAACCATATGCTGTTGAAGTAAAGCCTTCCAGTAAACTTGAAGAGAGTCTTCCTGATAAGTCACCAGAGGGAATAACTGCAGGTCCTCTCTCTAAAGATAAGGATGTAGCTGAAGCACTAGAAGATGAAGAAAAAGACATAACCAATGAAAAAGAAAAGACTGATAGTAAAAGATCTCCTGGAAGATTCAAATTTTGGCTTCCAAGTATTGGCTTTTCATCTTCTGGTGATGAAACAAGCACAGATTCAAAAACAGAATTAAAAAAATCAGTTCCAGAAGATGTGAAACCTGCTGACACATCAGATAATGATTCTTCTAAGCAAACTGAAAAAACTGGATGGTTTAGATTTCCCAAGCTTGGTTTCACATCTCCTTCCAAAAAGGCTAAGGCTGTTGACAAAGAAGAGATGACTCATAAAGAGGGAAGAATCTCAGATGAAGATAGCCCATCAGATAAACCTGATGTATTTTTTGATGCACAAGAAAGCTTATCACCTAAAGAAACAACAGAGAGTGAAAAAGTTGAAATTGATGGGGCCTCATCTAATGTTCCAGTTTCTCGAACTATCGTGACATCTTCAGCAAGAACTGAACTAATCTTGTTGGAGGAGGAAAAAGATAGTGAATCTAATATTCCTGGAGAAACAACCAAATGAAGACTGTCTTTTCTCAACCCTCAGTGAAAATAAAATCATCTACATGTACAGAAAAAAATGTTTTCTTAATTTTCTAGTAACTGAAAATTAAACAAAACCCAAAGCTGATATTCATGAAAACAGTTGAACAGAATTTACCACATTAATTTTCAAGTACGTCGATATTGTGCACTAACAAAAATACCAGTTTCTTCAAATCTGCCCCAAAGGCAACAATTACTACAGGTACAGAGGAGCCCATGGTTTTAGCAAAGTCTGAAAAGATACCTGAACCACGAAAGTAAACCATTGAAAGGCTCAATGACAGCAGAAAGACTTGTTAAATAGGCTTCTCAAAAACACACCAATTATGTTTAGATTATAGATTATTTCCAGAATGGAGTATAAACTAGTACTATGAGAACTATACTTACTTGTTTAGATTTTGGACCTTTCTGATCTACTTTTGCTTTCTTATTAAAATATTTTTCTTTTTTTCAGCTAAGGTGATATGTATATTCCACAAACATTTTAAAATGCCAAATAAAAACAAAATACTAGTGTAGAGAGACTAACACTTTACCTCTTCCTCTCTTCTCATTTTTTGATTATTGTGGTGGGTCGTATTTAGCCTTAAAAGAATTTTTAAAAAAAACAACAGAATAAATTCAAGACCAAAAACCATACAACTAATTCACATTTTTAAGATACCAAAATAAAACATGCTGACAAAGAATAATTATTAAAATGTGGATAAATAAATTTTAATGTATATATTTACTGGATAGTTAAATGCACAGAATGATCTGCCACACTGGTGGAATTGCTTCAAAGATTTTCTGGGAAAGAAGATGTATATAATTATTTGCTTCTCTGTTTACATTAATGCTTCTCTCAAGAGCATAACAAAAACCAGAGTGCATATGTGACAGCCTTCACATGTATTATTAAAACACTGTCTGTATTCTTAAACCACAATAAACTCACCATATGAATAATAACTCGAGTAGTGCGAGTTACTGATAGTGCTGTTAGCATGTTCTTATTCTGAAAATCCCAGCTTAAATTTGTAAAAGGTTTGAGTATACCCCACTATTTGCTGAAGTGGCTGCTTAATGACAGCACAGTTTCTACAGTGCTAATGGAGACATTTCACTCATTACAGCCCTGAGTTTTATAGATTTGCCTGTGCAGACATGATTTGTTATAGTAGTTTTCTCATCCTGTATTTTCCTTCTCCATATTCTGCTTGGTACAGGGAAAGCAGACACAGCAAAACATTTAGAAACTGGTTTGTAAAGGAAGTGTACTTGGTTGTCTAACCATCTGTAGCTTGAGATGTTCTTCATTTCTATATCTTTGCAGTAGGCTTAAATATTCTAAAGAGAACTGCTGGCAGTTATTCTAAAGAGAATGCTAATTATCTCTGAAGAGACTGTTCACATAAGTGTTAGGCACGTATCATTTATTTGGATTTTGCAGCATTTCCCTGAAGTTCCCCTAAGTATAAAAGTCATTGTTCAATAGACCCAAAATTATCACATCAGACAGCAACGGCATATACCAGGACTGAGAAAAAAGATGGAAAAATTGAGTCCAGGAAAAGGTAATGTATGTAATAAAGGACATCCCATTCTAACAGCAGCTCACATCTGCCTGCAAAGCAGCCTTCACATAAAATGTTTCTCAGGTAGTGTCCATTTACTTAGGCCCACAAGTAGGAATCCACCTAGACAGTACTGAATGTAGGAGTCTGTTGCAAAGGTGACAGAATCAAGTCAATTAAAATCGAGCTCTGAGACAGCAATGACCACAGAGCAATAATCACTATGATATTTTTAAAAGATGAATGAAATAGTTAAGGGAAGAGCAGTAGAGAAAAGCAGCAGCAATAAAATCTTCCTCCAAATAGGCTACTGTCAGCTTTGGGAAAGGTGAAGGTTAGCAGAAAAGCAACCAGGTTAACAAGGTATTACCCAAGGGTCTGACCACAGGAATAGCTAAGAACAGAGCTCAAAAGGGTGCAAGGAGCACAGACACAAACCTGCAGAACATAGGCATTTTGTGAACAGGCTGATTCTGACCCCACCTGCATACTTAGTATGAGATGCTCCGGTTGTTCTTTTTAACTGTGGTAGGTTTCCTTGGTTACTGCTACTTATCTTTTAACATCTGAAAAAGTGGGCTGTTCAGCTAAACATCTATGTACAGTCTCCGGCCAAACAAGCCTACAACTGTGATTTGACATGCAAAAGAAGGTATACATGCATTAAACAGAAAGACATTCCCACCTCAGTAATATCTTGCATAGTTAAGACATGAATACATCTCTGTTGTTTGGCTATTTTATTGTTACATTTGAAGCAGGACCTCTCATAAATTCATAGAATCATAGAATCATTTAGGTTGGAAAAGACCTTCAAGATCATCGAGTCCAACCATCAACCATGCCCACTAAACCATGTCCTGAAGTACCCCGTCGACTCGCTTTTTGAATACCTCCAGGGATGGTGACTCAACCACTTCCCTGGGCAGCCTACTCCAATGTCTGACAAACCTCTCAGCAAAAAAAATTTTCCTAATATCTAACCTAAATCTCCCTTGCCTCAACTTGAGGCCATTTCCTCTCGAGGAATTCCAAAGGCAAGACAGCCAAAACTAATCCTGAATGAGATAATACATATGAAGAAGAATGGAATGGAATGGAATGGAATGGAATGGAATAGAAACAGAATAGAATAGAATAGAATAGAATAGAATAGAATAGAATAGAATAGAATAGAATAGAATAGAACAGAATAGAATAGAATAGAACAGAATAGAATAGAACAGAATAGAATAGAACAGAATAGTTCAGTTGGAAGGGACCTACAACCATCGTCAAATGCAACTGCCTGACCACTTCAGGGCTGACCAAAAGTTAAAGCATGTTATTAACAGCATTGTCCATATGCCTCTTAAACATTGACAGGCATGGGGCATCGACCACCTCTGTATAAAGCCTGTTCCAGTGTCTGACCACCCTCTTGGTAAATAAATGTTTCTTAATGTCAAGTCTGAACCTCACCTGATGCAGCTTTGAACCATTTTCACTCACCCCATCATGGCATACCAGGGAGAAGAGATAAGCACCTCCCTCTCCACTTCTCCTCCTTGGGAAGCTGCAGAGAGCAGAGGTCCATGAGGCAGCGCCCATGACAGAAGAGCTATATTCCAGGGATTATGGAGATACTTATGACTGTCAAAAAAATTAAGTGTACTTTGATATAGCATAAATGGTAGATGAAAAGTTTTCTTCAGTACCTGGATGAAAGCAACAAAGGTATGATTTATCTGGAACAACTGAGAAAGGAAAATCCTGGGTAATGGGGGAAAAATTGAAAACAGATAATACTAAAGCTTTTGGAACAAGCTGGTGTCTAATGTGTGAAACCCAGTGACTTTGTAGTCCCGTCAGAACTCATAAACCTATGGAGCCAGCTAGGTTCTGTCTTGCCGTCATCTGCATTGGTGTCAGCAGTGCTGTAGCCACAAGGCACTACACCAAACCAAATGCCCTCAGAAATGAGACTGCTGGGAGAGTGGTGCAGCAGATCTGCATGAAAGCCGCTCAGGTAAAGCAGGGCCAGTTCACTTAAAGTTGTACTCCATCATAACACAGGTACCTGAGATGAGCTGATCAGAGGACAGTATCCATGCTGAAGATCCTACCCAGCAACTTTTTCAGACATGAATAAACCAATACTGAGAAAAAAATGAACTGCCTGCAACCAAACTAGAAAATCCATCCAAGAATAATAAATAGATGCTAATGTACACTACTTCTTACATTTAGTACGTGTATCACAATCTAAATGAAAGAGACAAGCAACAGGTGGGTGGATAAGAACTATTATTAACCATGTTTCATAAATGGAAAAGTACTAAGAGACTCAAAGCCTGGCTATAATTTATACCATATTCTACCTTTGTAATAGATAGCAAGTAAATTAGAATCAAGTTATGAAGGGGCCTAAAAAGTCTCACAAGAAACCAGGGAAATAAACTCAAGTTCCTCTTAGGTCCAGTTCATTGTCTTAATCATAAACCCCTCCTTCATATGTGGAGGAAAAACAACACACATCGTGCCAATGATGAAAATAAAGGAGCACTCTCATAAGCACCAATTTTTCCTTTACAAGGTGAACCTTACCCCACACGATTCTTATATTACCAGAAGACAAGTCTCCCAGCTTGCCCAGGAACTCTGTCCCACTGAACAACTTACCCAGCATGGTCAGTTTTGAGCCAGCAGAGGAGAAAGAAGTTTTCTTATTCCTGCAATATGTCTCCCACCCAAACCAGTGAAAATGTAGCTTCGAGTGCCATCTAGAGGAGTGCGCTCCTCTATAGAAAATAGTTCTGTTGGTTAAACATGCAATTTCTCAAAAAGATTTTCAAACTGACCCACCTTTCACACGTGCTCATTGCACCGGGAAAAATCTGTCCGATGTCGTTCTTGCATGCAAGTATTAATACAGCCCACGGCCGGATATATTTGTTCGTACAGGATAATAAACCCGTGAAATGGAGCTAGTGAAAACCAGCTGGGGAGGTTCTACTTTGCCAGAAATGTTAATTAGTGAATGGAAATCTCAAAATATTAAGCAGCCTCTAGAAAGCAAATTGGGGAGGAGAGCACTAAAAGCACCTGCATCTTCCTCAATATGTTTGCACATACGTGAATACTCACGATATTTCAGTGTTATCTGTAAATGTAACTACATGTCTTAAAAATCTGCCTTAATAACAACAAGCATTGATTTGTCATGATGGATAAAACAATCCAAGGAATCTTAGAAGTGTCTGGAAGAGATAACTAAGGAGCAGCCTGGAAACCAAAACATGGAAAATTGGTTGGGATCATCTCCAAAAGACCTCATGGGGAAGAGGCCTTATTTGTATGGGGCTTTGTGTGTATCCGCAAAGATATAAATCAGTCCACACATGCACAATCACAGCAGGTCCCTTTGTCATTCTCT